ATTTTGAATGTGTGAATAAAAATTGAGGGTAGAGAAGGAGAGTACATATAATATTTTCCCTAGCTTGTTTATCAAATACCAGATGAAACATAACTAATAATTTTGTTAACATATATATAAACAATATTAATTGTACAGTAAAAGTTGAATATGTACTCAGAAAAAAGTTTTTTTTTTTTTTTTTTAATAAAAAAAAAACTTTGTTAACTGTTGACATAAACAGATTTACCTCCTTTCTTAGCTAGAGTCACAAGACGAATTTCATCTAAAGCGCACTTTCGGATAATAAATGCGGATTTTCCTGTAAATTAAAAAGTGAGTTCGAATAATTGCTCTGATTCAAACAAAATTTTTTGAATCAAAACGGGTAAGTTACACTCGAAGTTCTAACACAATTATTATCCATAGGTTATATCCGAACATCTAATGCATTCGTTACACTGCTAGTAAAGTTTTTATCTAGGACCACTTTCACAGACCCACTGGTGCAGCTAAAAAAGAACAAAACACTGAATTTTATGATCCCACATATGATGCCTGCACTTATACTAGGAGTGGTCACATAGTGCACTCAACATTTTTGGATCTTTCATTCACTACTCATAGATAGTATGACCCACTAAATCATCACAACTTCCCACTTCCCTATCTTACATGCTACAATTCTACATCACATGTAGCAGCTTCAAGTTTGTGGAGATTAAAAGGTTGTACCAATTATTAAAGTAACCAAAAATCCTAAGATTTGAGTGTTACACTGAGCAACTATTTCAAAGAATTTGAACCTCAAACCAAAAAAAAAAAAATGATACAAGGAATCAAAACCAGGTTTTAGTCTATTGAGGAACTGCTTTAGAACACAAAATGAGTCTAAGAGTAGCTAAGAATAAGAGGAAAAATCCCAAACAATTAGCAGACAATTTCGTTGAAATATTGGGGAAAGATAACTGGGATGTTCAATCCAATTTGTAGCATAATCAGCTAGAAGTTTATCAAATTTATAATCCACAAATTCATTCAATCATTAGCTTTATACAATTAACAGAATTGGATTTTGCACAGGCCTGTTAATGATGGAATCTTGAATAAGTCCCTCATCAGGAGATTGGATAGAGGAAACAGCATGCCAAATTCAATTCAGTAGAAGTGGGAAATCACCAAAAAATAAGCAGAAAAAGCAGATTAAATTCCCAGATTCAATTCAGAAGAAGGGGGAAATCACCAAAAAAATAAGCAGAAAAAGCAGATTAAATTCCCAGATTTTGGTTTGGAAAAAAATTTGGACCATTTCTCGATTTGTGCGTGTCATCCTTGCGCAGGGGCCATGCTAATCTTCTCTGTATCGTTCCAATTTTATCGGATGTCCCCGAAGGGACGCTCTTTGCTTCCATGGCGGTCTATGTCTACTGGAAAAACGCTCCTTCATTTGCCGATGTGGGAGCTGGCGAGTTAAGTGACTACAGCCTAACATAAGTACTGTAAATTAGCTCCTAAGCGGCCCATATAGGCCCAATCCAAATTTACCAATTTATTACTCCGTAATACTGAAATTTGTATACAATAAATATTTTCTCCATTTCTTTAAAATATTATATTATACTCCGTATGTATTTATATATATATATATATATATATATATATATATATATATATATATATTTGGAAAGTTACTGGTTCTATTACATTGTAGTATCTGTTCATATACTTTCTTAACCTACTGAAACACAAAGAACCAATAACGCCTCCACTGAGGCTCGAACTCATAATCTTCCAAATGGAAGTCCAACCCGGGTACCATTAGACCACATAGTCCTGGTCCGTATGTATTTATATAGTTTTATTTTCTTGTGAAATTATATTTCTGTGCATATACCCTTCTTTATTGAACCTGTTATTTAAAGCAATTTTCAATATTATCCTAGTAATAAATTTTATTTTCTTTTACTCCATTTTTGAAAAATCCCCCCCCCCCCCCCCCCCCCCCCTTTTTTTTTTTTATTGACATAATATTACATAGAATATTTTGCAATAAAAAAATTAATATGAAAGAAAGAAATTTTCTATGATATCCATTATAAAACTATCACTAATAAAATTTCACCATTGGTACTGGTAATAATTTTCATTGTCAAATTATATGTGCTAGCATAACTAATTTATAAAGCGAGGTGGTGGAGACAAACACTTAAGTAAATATAGTTCAACTAATTAACATTTGCTTCGAATGGTAAAATTAGTTTTATCTGTTTAGTGCATGGAGCAATAAGATAGACTTTGGATATTTCATCCTCCGGACCACAGCACGAGTATCAGATTTTTTATTTTCATATAGGAGGTATTTGGTAAATAGCTATTAGCCAATAGTTGTTAGTTGATTGGTTAGTGAATTTGACTAGTTGATAGCATTAACTTATTATAAAAAAATATTTAAAGCGGAACAGAAACATCTGTCCAGTTTGAAGCTCAGAAGCATGGTTTTAGCCAATCATCTTAGTGCATTACTCATTCCACTTGTACAAAGGAAATTTTTCTGTAGAAAGAAGCACATCTTCATGGCATACGTCAATTATCCTCACTCTTCATCATCAAATAAGTCTTCAGGAGGATCATAAATTATCATATCCGGAAAAAGTTGAAGAAACTCATCCTTAACCTTTCTCTCAAATCTGGATAAGGAAGAAGCCCTTTCTTTTAATATGACTCAGATAAAGGGGGATCAGTAGAGCTTCAATTCTCATTTCATCATATATATGCATTGCCTCATCACACAATCCACAAGCTCACCAAATGTATGTTGATCAAAAAGGACACCTTCACTCTTCAAATCTTCCCACACCTTCTTTGCTTCATCTACCCTTTTCTTCTTTGCAAGCATCAAAAGCATATCCCTATAAAAAAAAACATATACGGTCGACACCATATCTGTTTACACACCACTTCATACATCTACACATGTAAACACAATAGTCAAATACTTTGGCATAGATGCAAAAGTATCATGTTTAGGCTCTTCCGAGATCACAACAATTGATCTCACTGACATAATAGCAAGCCGTTTCTATTTTACTCTTAAAATTAACCATAAGAATAAGAAAAACAATTTAATGACTAGAGTGCCACAACAAGAAATTTTCTAGAATAATTGTTTTCCAATGAATGGAAAAGGTCTATTTCACTATAAGCATCAATGGTTAGGCATTTATATGGGTCATCACTTTGAGCATTACCAAAATACCAAACTAATGTTCTTATTACTTTTCTCAAGCTTATTCAAAACTAGAAGGCAAGTATATAGTGAACTAATATAAATTTAAGAGTTAAGACATCAAATTCTAGAAGAACGTGTGCACTCTGATCAATTCATACTAATGTATCAAGCCATCCGGTTGAACAACTACGAAAAAAATAGAATATTATGATTACAACATTCACTTTTAAACTAATAAAATGTAGCAAGAACTTAAAAAGTTAATTATAATATACTAGAAAAAAAAAATCATTTTTCTCTGTTTAAATTGGTACCTTCATGGAAAGAAAGATAAGGTCTTGTCTCTGGAATTCGGCGAGGACAGCGAGGAGGTCAGATTTGAGAAGTCGAGAAACATTTGACTTCATAAACTGTTCAAGCCGAATAGGGTCTGACTGTAACCGCTTGAGTTCCTTGGCCACCATTAGACCTTCTTTCCCCATTTCCTTCTTACGTCTCCAAATCAACACACTCGGACTTGATGCCGCTGCATTGGAGCCAATGATGATGTGTCTGAATTGCTTGGGTTTTTATAACTGTAAAATCCTAAAAGTGATTATCAAGTATCAACTGAAGAAGAGGGTGAAAGTAACATTGCCAAGATTAATTACAATTAGAAGACAGCCAAGATATTGTACAAGGATATATAGATGGTATTTCAATTGATGATCATGACTAACAGACAATCTGATCAACAAATGCAACAATTTATACTAGTTCCTATTAGGATCAAACGCTTACCATTACGCCAAAAGCTATAACTAGTAGCAAAGACACAATTTTATTTTCTTATACCGGCACACATTTTCGAGAGGCAGGGTGCTGGACTTGGCCCTTTAGGCCTCCGCCCAACAACCCCCTAACCACCAGGTGCTGGACTTGGCCGCCTCACCGGCCTCACCCAACAGTTCCATATATGTGCATGCAACCTGGGAGAATGAGTGGAACCATAAGAAGACACCCCCCTCCCAAGCTTTTCTTTCTGAAACTTCAGGTGCGAACACCTATCTCTGCAGTCCAACATCGCAAAAGTGTGGGAACCTTTATGACTTCATTGTCAATCGTGCATGATTCAGGTATCAAAAGACCAGCGTTCTTGTGTGTTTGTAAGACTTCGACAATTGTTTGTCAAATGTTACAATAATGGGCACATATTTATAAGTACAACAAATGCTTGTAGTGAACTTACATGTGTTAAATCACTAAATCTATTAGACTGTTATGCATAAATCATGTCTTCAGCACTTGAAATCGCATTCTCAACAACTCTAAGAACCATGCAGTGAGATGAACATAGACAGCATGCCATTACAACTTACAAGTCACATATTCCACACCAATGGGTATGTTAATCATTTATCAGCATTCATAGCTCAAAATTACGATTTATTCTGAACAACAAATCAAATGTAAAATACATTTTGCTTATATGTAAGCTAATTGTAATTGATACCAATTCTATCAAACAAACGGTAAGAGCGAACAGCCCAGGAATGGTACAAGATCAGAGGTTAAAAGGATTTTCCAATCTCAATAGCATCGTACGTATCAGAATCCCAAACACGGTAAAGCAGGTTAGGGAAATGGAAAACCCTAAAAATTTAAGGAAATCCAAAACTCAAGTGCAGCTTAGCGAATACTTACCGAATTTTCACAGGGGGACAAGGGATCCATGGCAGGGTTTTTTGGGATAAAAAAAATTTGGACAATTTCTCGATTTGTGCGTGTCACCCTTGCGTCGGGGCCATTTCTCGATGATGAATCAATAACTGTTGATCAAACCATCAGCTTCGGAATTCCATTAAACCCTTATTGCTTCCATTTGCGCTAGTCTGATAGATAGTCTCAGACTCTCAGTTCAACAACCAAAACTTCAGAAATTAAATTTCCCACATCGGGCAGCTATTAAACTTGAAATCAAAATATAAGGTTCTATTTGCGAGAGTTAGTCACGACCTTACTTGAACAGGATCTGTTCTATAGGCTCGTACCTCTGTATCCTTGAGTTCTAAGGAGACAGGAAACTAAGCCTGGTGGATGAATCATGGCCAAGGGGCTAGAGCGTGAGTAACAGCACCGTACCTTCACCGGGCGGAGCCGTCGAGGATCGTTCCTGGCCGCCTAGCCGCGGCTGGGATGGCCTCTTGTCTGTCTGACAGGCTTCCCTTCTTTTTCTCATTTTTTCCCTCATTACGTCGGTGGGTTGAGTGGGTTCTTGCCGTTCGTCCTAAAATGGAGCTGCAGAACAGTAGAACACTATGAAAGTTCTGCGTTCTTGGAGGTTTAGTCTACGTTCTTGGAACTTTATTTAATGCATTAATCTGTGAACAGGAAGCGTTTGTAGTCCAACGGTTAGGATAATTGCCTTCCAAGCAATAGACCCGGGTTCGACTCCCGGCAAACGCAATTTTTTCTCTACTTCGGTTAGGAAAAATGCTACTTCTTAGAAAGTTACCGCTTCCTAAGCGGCCCAATCCGAATTTACCTTCTATTTTTTTAAAATACAAATTTACCAATTTATTAATTCCGAAAAGTGTATACAATAAAGATTTTCCATTTCTTTAAAATATTTTATTTATTTATATAGTTTTAGTTTCTCATGGATTTATATATATGTATACAAGAAACTAGAACTGGCAGAAAATTCAAAATTTTTTGACCTAGATTGTGAAATTTTCTAGGAGCATTCAGCAAGTCTAAAACATACATAAAAATTTTCATATCAATCCAAGGCCTAGAAGTATTTTTCTCGAATTTTACCCTTAAATTGCATCGACAAATTTTTTTTTGGATAGCACACTCCAAGAACTTTACGAAATTCTGTGATTACTGGAACATGTTTTCAACCCAAACTTTTTTTGGATATCAAGTTATATAAATTTTTAAGTTCTTCAAAAAAAAATTCAAGCAAAAAGGAGTCCATAAAATATTTTTTCAAAATTTATTTTTCCGATTGTGCTAGACAGAATTTTCTCAAACACTAAAATATTATATAAATATATTATTTTATTTTTTAAAATATGTGACGGGCAGTCCACGGGCCTAAGCAGGGCAGGCCAAAAAAGCCCGCTCCTTGACAGCCTGCTATTTTCGAAACCCACCCCCTACCTAAGTATAGAGCATGACGGGCTAGCCCGACAAGCAAAACCCGTTTTGACAGCTCTTCCAAGGTGGTAAGGTGGTGGAGACAAACCCTCAAACAGAAAACAATCACAAAGTTGAAAGACTGAACAAGATTACTACATCAAAAATATCTGATCTATCTCTCCCAAGTTACAGTTTGGGTACAATAAAAGGGGATTGTCAGCATTTTAGCATTATTTTCAATAAATATAGTTCAACTAAATAACATTTGCTTCAAAAGGGAAGACATAATTGAGACACCAATCTCCAAAGCAAAGCAATATTCTTAAACCAATCTCTTTTGTATGAGGTTGGTTCTCCATCATCTCTCATATTTGGCATGAATGAATTCAGCATTCCCAGTTCAATGGCCATCATCATCATCTCTCATCATTTCAGGGGAAACCAACAAAGAAACAAATGATTATCAACTGAAGAAGAGGGTGAAACATCACCCAGCTGATTAATTATCAAAAAAAAAAAAAAAAAAAAAAAAGACAGCCAAAATATTGTACAAGGAGGATATGATAGATGGTGGTATTTCTATTGATGATCATGACTGACAATCTGATCAACGAATGCAACAATTTATCGGGTTGCATAGAGCAGATCGAAGTGGATGGTAGCTGAAACACTATTTGAAGCTCCAAGTTACAGAATGAAAGGGTTTTTTTTTTTTGGGTTCTTTGATTTCGACAGGCAGACTTAAATTCTACCTAATTGAAAGCAAGATTCCTGCATAGAACACAGTATAAAAGAAGAAGAAATGTATGTACAAACCTTCGTAAGAACGACACTTTTGCTTCACACGCACTGTATTTCCACATCACACAAAACATGGAAGAATAATCGCAACCCCTCATAATGTTGATCAACAAAAATGTGCATTGGTATGTTGCCGTTCCGTTCCTTTGTGGCAATGGTAAATTCTTTCAGAAACTCATAAATGACCAAAGCATACATGGCTGTGAAGGAAAGTTCTGTGATACATGCTAATCCAAACCAGAATCAGAACATGATACAATCCCATAAACTATGAAGTCATCGATATCCATTAAGTTTCTAAAGAATTGTGCATAAGGATTTCTTCCAATACACCAATCAGATTATAACCACCTTAGTATCCAATCTATCAGAACCAGAAACACTATTCTCCAGCTCATATTCAATGTAAAAAAAAAAAGAAAAAAAAAAAAGAAAAAAAAAAAGAAAAAAAACTAAAACAGCAAATTTTTGGTTGTTTTTTTTTGAAGCAAACAACGACATAACCATTCATTCAGAACACAAAAGACCCGAAATACAATCATTAATTGTTTGGAAGTTGATCATTAATAAGGTGATGCATTTGGGCTTGCACTTTAAAAGGTGATCATTACTTTACAATAAGCATATATATATAATTCACAAAATAAGCTACTCATAAAGATTTTGCTAAGCTGATTCTGCTATTCTTGTTGGCATGCAATTCAGCATCCAAATAACAAAAGCTCATCATATTTCATAGTGCAATAAATGATATTTTCTTTTAGCTGTTCAAGAACATACTAAACCAGAAGCAAATACAGAAACACGTTTACAGCTGAATTATACCGCCTAACTTAAACCATTAAAGCTAACCCAAATAGCCAAACATACATCTACCACAACACTTGACTCAACTGGAAAACGTAACAAATAAACCAAATCCAATTATTAAAGTAACCAAAAATCCTAAGATTTGAGTGTTACAACTGAGCAACTATTTCAAAGAATTCGAACCTCAAAAAAAAAAAAAAAATGATACAAGGAGTCAAAACCAGGTTTTAGTCTATTGAGGAACTGCTTTAGAACACAAAATGAGTCTAAGAGTAGCTAAGAATAAGTGGAAAATCCCAAACAATTAGCAGACAATTTTGTTGAAATATTGGGTGGAAATAAATAGAATATTCACTCCAATTTGTAGCATAAGCAGTAGAAGTTGTCAAAATTATAATTCTGCACAGGCCTGTTAAATGTTAATGATGGCATGCATCTTGAAGAAATCCTATCATCAGTAGATTGGATAAAGGGGAAAAAGCAGGCCAAATTGGATTCAGAAGAAGTGGAAAATCACCAAAAATTAGCAGGAAAGCAGATTAAATTGTCAGGATTTCTGAGGTAAAAAAAAAAAAAAAAGTTGGACCATTTCTCGATTTGTGCGTGTCATCCATGCGCAGGGGGCATGCTAATCTTCTCTGTATCGTTCCAATTTTATCGGATGTCCCCGAAGGAACGCTGTCACGTATAAGGTTGAGGAACTCTGTTTTGTACATGAACAAAGGTTATTTTATTAGTAAATTCTGATGTATGTCTGTATATGACTTGAAAGCCACAGTAAAGAGTTCATAGATCCTTGGGACCAAACCAAAGATACAATATAAGATTATAAGACAATCACAAAACTAACCAGATTGCACAGAAGCTGTTGAATTTAGTTGATCATCAATTTGATCGGATGTTACGCATCTCGAATGAGAAATCATGGAAATTCCCAAATGTCAACACATGCCAATAGGCTGCTCCTACTCGGAGTCAAACTTGAAACATTATGGTTACCAAGCCAAGAGTCTGTTAATGTGTTGAACTAAGAATTGGTTGGGTAGAACAGTCCTGAGTCCAAAAGAACAGCCACATCATGCATATTTAACAGGAAATGCAGGGGTAGATGCTCTGATTTGGCTTTCTTCTCTAATTTGCATTGAGAAATTTTCAACCCTATAGTGATAGCCCAAAGGCAAGGCAGTCTGAGTTGTGATTGCATTGTATACTTGCCACAGCAAACAAACAAAACAAAATGATACAAGGAATCAAAACCCAGTTTCAGTCTGTCTATTGAGGAACTCCTTGAAAACACCAAAGGAATCTAAGAATAAGCGGAAAATCACAACAAAGTAGCAAACAATTTCGTTGAAATATTGGGGAAAAATAACTGGGATATTCAATCCAATTTGTAACATAATCAGCTAGAAGTTTATCAAAATTATAATCCACAAATTCATTCAATCATTAGCTTTATACGATTAACAAAATTGGATTTTGCACAGGCCTGTTAATGATGGCGTCAGGAGATTGGATAGAGGAAACAGCATGCCAAATCCAATTCAGAAGAAGTGGAAATCACCCAAAATTAGCAGGAAAAAAACAGATTAAATTCCCAGATATCCAATTCAGAAGAACTGGGAAATCACCCAAAATTAGCAGGAAAAAAACAGATTAAATTCCCAGATTTTGGTTTTAAAAAAATTTGGACCATTTCTCGATTTGTGCGTGTCATCCTTGCGCAGGGGCCATGCTAATCTTCTCTGTATCGTTCCAATTTTATCGGATGTCCCCGAAGGGACGTTCTTCTTCTTCAATGGCGGACTATATGTACTGGGAGATAGCTGGTTCATCGCCGATGTGGGAGCTGGCGAGCTGCACAGAGAAAAGATGATTGATACTAGTACTAGTGAAGACCGACCATTGTTACTCATAGCGGCCCATTAAAGCATATAAGCCCAGTCCAAAATTTTCAATCTATGAATTCCAAATTCGTAATGTGTATACAATAAATATTTTCTCCATTTCTTAAAAAATATTATATTTATTTATGTTTGTCCACATATATTTAAACCATTTCAATACAATCATTATACCATATTACCATGTACCATAGTCTATCTTGTATATTTTTAATATACTAAAGATTTACTTTTTGAAGGTACATTAGCTAATTATTGAAGGTTCATTATTTGATATTCTATCAAATATTCAAATAATGTACCTTCAATATATTAAAATGAACATTTATTCATAATCCATAATATATGTTTAGAATAAGGGCCAAATAGGCCATCTAATTGCATACAATAATGCAATTAGGCCACTAAACTTAAAAAAGTTACAATTAGATTCCTGAACCAACCAATTTTATGCAATTAGTCTTATTTGTAGGTTTTTCAAGTTGTTAGCAAGTCACCACTTTTCAAAATATTTTTTTAAACAAATTATTATTTAAAATAATAAGAAAAAAAAAAACAGATCGACCCTGCCGGAGACGAAGAGTTCGTCTCCAGCCATGGAGACGAAATAACTTCTTCGTCTCTAGCCGGAGACGAAGAGACTCTTCGTCTCCTGCCATGGAGACGAAGAAGTTATCTCTGTCTCCATGGCCGGAGGCGAAGACGGTTTCTTCGTCCCCGGCGGAGATGGTATCTTTTTTCTTTTTTTTTTTTTTTTTTTAAATAATTATTTTAAATAATAATTTTTTTTAAAATATTTTAAAATAGAGGTGACGTGTTAATTACTTGAAAGACCTACAAATTGGACTAATTGAATATAAGAGAAAAATTCAATTTTGGTCACACGACTATAGGAGCTTTGTTAATTTCAGCACCTAACTTTCAAAAGTGTCAATTTAGTACCTTGAGTATGTAATTTTTGTCAATTTTGGTCACTCCGACCAAATTACCGGCCAAATTTGACCGGAAAAATTTAATACAACATTTAGTCTAAAATCTGAGGGGCAAAATGGTCTTTTGTATCATTTGGTATTGACCGAATTAATTTATACTAAATGTTGGATTAAAATCTGATTTAGATTGCGATAGTAGCACCGCGGGAAAGACAAGGATCGTTTTGCATTCTCCGATGGAATCTGAATTGCAAGAGTTATCCAAGCCTTCCTATGAGAAAAATGACAGCTTTGTGATGGATAATTCTCCACATTCTATGAGCACGTTAAGCTGTGGTAATGTCATTCAGACCCCCAAGTCAGATTCAAGCTCAGCCCTAGATTTTGGATTGTCGTGGCTTAACGTAGATGGACATCATAAACAGCCTGGATTCGAATATGAACTTGATGAGGTTACAGAAATTCTTCGCAAAGTGAGCTTATCACCTCAGAATCAGATGCCAACTCATGATGCTCCTGGGATGAGTTTCAAGTTTACTAATTCAACCTCGCCTTTTAGTTTCGTCGGGTCGCTGAATGTCAAAAACGTAGGGATGCTGCTGCATCTTTGCTTTCCGATTCCTCATTTGGAAATGCATCTGAGTCTAACATGAAAATATCGTGGAGGGATGGATTAGTCGGTGTCAGTCGAACTATTGAGATGGATGAGTTAGATTGCTGCAGGTGCTTGTCAGATGAAGAAAACGAGAATCTATGTTGCGCTAATGATTTATCATAAAATAAATATGAGACATTGATCATAGAAAAGACCATTTTGTCCCTCAGATTTAGATTAAATGTTGGATTAAATTTTTCCGGCCAAATTTGGCCGCCAATTTGATCGGAGTGATCAAAATTGACAAAAATTACATACTCAAGGTACTAAATTGACACTTTTGAAAGTTAGGTGCTGAAATTAACAAAGCACCTATAATCGTGTGACCAAAATTGAAATTTTCTCTTGAATATAATTAGTTAGTTCAGGGACTCAATTGTAGCTTTTTTAAGTTCGGTGGCCTAATTGCATTATTGAGTGCAGTTCGATGACCTATTTGACTCTTATTCCTATATGTTTTTTCAATATCATCCAAGTAATAAAATTTATTTTCCTTAAACCAATTTCCAAATGGTACTTTTTTTTATTGACATAATATAGTATAGAAAATTAAACAATTTAATCTATGAATTTTGCAATAGAAAAAAAAATGAAAATTGCTTACTGAAATTATCTGTATACTCCCCGCCCCGTTGCCATCCCTAGATACATCAAGAATATCTAATAAAAAGCTCTACCAAATTACAATTTGGGTACAATAATAAAGAAAAAATGGGAATGATCAACATTTTAGTATTATTTTCTAGGACCCCTATTTATTGGTTTTCAAAAATAAAAAATAAAAGACCCCTATTTATTTCCAATAAATATAGTTCAACTAATTAACATTTGCTTCAAAGGGAAGAGAAAAGTATGGAGCCATCAATCTCTTTGCATCACCTTTCTCCATCATCATCTCATATTAGCCATGAATTCAGGATTCCCAGTTCAATGGCCATCATCTGTCATCATTTCTGGGGAAACCAATAAAGAAGTAATTATCAACTTAAGAAAAGGGTGAAACATCAACAAGATTAGTAGATTACAAATGGAAAAAGTAACAAATAAACCAAACCCAATTATTAAAGTAACCAAGAATTCTAAGATTTGAGTGTTACACAACTGAGTAACTATTTCAAAGAATTCGAACCTCAAAAAAAAAAAAAAAAAATGAGACAAGGAATCAAAACCAGGTTTTAGTCTATTGAGGAACTGCTTTAGAACACAAAATGAGTCTAAGAGTAGCTAAGAATAAGTGGAAAATCTCAAACAATTAGCAGACAATTTCGTTGAAATATTGGGGAAAAGTAACTGGAATATTCAATCCAATTTGTAGTATAATCAGCTAGAAGTTTATCAAAATTATAATCCACAAATTCATTATTAACAAAATTGGATTTTGCACAGGCCTGTTAATGATGGCATCTTGAATAAGTCCCTCATCATCAGGAGATTGGATAGAGGAACCAGCATGCCAAATTCAATTCAGAAGAGTGGGAAATCACCAAAACATTAGCAGAAAAGCAGATTAAATTCCCAGATTTTGGTCTAAAAAAAAATTTAGACCATTTCTCGATTTGTGCGTGTCATCCTTGCGCAGGGGCCATGCTAATCTTCTCTGTATCGTTCCAATTTTATCGGATGTCCCCGAAGGGACAGTCTAGCTCTTCAATGGCGGGCTATGTCTACTGGAACAGAGCTGCTTCATCGATCGGTGTGGGAGCTGCACAGAGAAAAGAACATAAAAGAAGTAAATTAGAAGGCTACCGCTTCCTAACCGGCCCTTCAAGGCCCAATCCAAATTTACCTTTTTTTCTTTTCTGTTTTTTTTTTTTTTTTTTTTTTTTTTTTTTTTTTTTTTTTGAAATACAAATTTACCAATTTATTAATTCTGAAAAATGTATACAATAAATATTTTCTCCATTTCTTTAAAATATTTTATTTACTTATATAGTTTTATTTTCTCTAATATTTTATTTATTTATATAGTTTTATTTTGTCGTGGATTTATATTTCTGTGCATATACCCTTCTTTACTTGTTTATATAGTTTTATTTCTTTTACTCCATTTTTTTTATTGACATAATATTACATAGAATATTTTGCAATAGAAAATTTACTTTGAAGATTTTTATTTTTATTTTTTTTATGATATTGATAAAAATTATTATCAATAATATCCACTAGTACCATTTTTGTACCGAATACGAATACAATTGATACCAGCAATGATCAACACTGTAAAATTATATGTGCATAACTAACCTATAAGGCAAGGTGGTGGAGACAAACACTCAAATAAAAAAACAATCACAAAGTTGAATAAGACCTATTTATTTTCAATAAATATAGTTCGACTAATTAACATTTGCTTCAAAAGGGAAGACCAAATTGAGACACCAATCTCCAAAGCAAACCAATATTCTTAAACCAATATCTTCTATATGAGGTTGGTTCTCCATCATCTCTCATAGTTTTCCATGAATGAATTCAGCATTCCCAGTTCAATGGCCATCATCATCATCTGTCATCAGTTCAATGAAATCTCTGTTACTCTGTAGCAGGAAAGCTAAAAGAATGATAACACTCATGACTACACATCATAATATTTTTTAAGTGTTTCACATTTATATATGAAAAATGAAAAGAAGAAGAAGAAAACATATAAAACTACTTATCATATCACATCTACTACAACCAGGTGCCATATGATACATAATTATGAATGTTAGTGAACTATCAGCAGTCCCAGTTCAATATTTTACAGTATTTTTACTCATTCCCCATACTAAACTTAACAGAGCTATATCACCTGGAATTCACTGCAACAAATATGAAATTTCATTGTTTACCAAAACAAAATGAATTCAATTGCAACTTCAAAAACTACCAACAATCTAATTACATAATATAAAACACAGACAGACATGCACAATAATAGAGCAAGAAATAGCATAATAGTTTTCCACTCTGGATTCAATAACCTATATACACATTCAATTCTATCAAACAAACGGTAAGAGCGAAAAGCCCAGGAATCGTACAAGTGGTTAAAAGGATTTCCAATCTCAATAGCATGGTACGTATCAGAATGTCAAACGCGGTAAAGCAGGTTAGGGAAATGGAAAACCCTAAAAATTTAAGGAAATCCAAAACTCAAGTGCAGCTTAGTGAATACTTGCCGAATTTTCACGGGGGAACAAGGGATCCATGGCAGGGATTTGTGGGAAATTTTTTTTGGGACCATTTCTCAATTTGTGCGGCAGGGGACATGATAATATTCCCTAATGGAATTATACACAACTATGAAGCGATTGAGATGCTAATCTTCTTCAAAATAGAATAAAAATGCAAAAACGTAACAACTGAGGAATTGAAGAAATTTCCATCTTACCTCGATGATGAATCAATAACTGTTGATCAAACCATCAGCTTTGGAATTCCATTAAACCCTTATTGCTTCCATTTGCGCTAGTCTGATAGATAGTCTCAGACTCTCAGTTCAACAACCAAAACTTCAGAAATTAAATTTCCCACATCGGGCAGCTATTAAACTTGAAATCAAAATATAAGGTTCTATTTGCGAGAGTTAGTCACGACCTTACTTGAACAGGATCTGTTCTATAGGCTTGTAATCCTTGAGTTCTAAGGAGACAGGAAACTAAGTCTGGTGGATGAATCATGGCCAAGAGGCTAGAGCGTGAGTAACAGCACCGTACCTTCACCGGGCGGAGCCGTCGAGGATCGTTCCTGGCCGTCTAGCAGCGGCTGGGATGGCCTCTTGGCTGTCTGACAGGCTTCCCATCTTTTTTTATCCCGGTTTTCCATTTTCGCTGTGTGTTCTTCCTAACATGGAGCTGCAGATCAGTTGAACCCTATGAAAGTTCTACGTTCTGGGGACCTCTATTGTGATGAGATGATACAGTAGTCTGTGTATGGGGAACAGGAAGTGCTTGTAGTCCAACGGTTAGGATAATTGCCTTTCAAGCAATAGACTTGGGTTCAACTTCTGGCAGACGCATTGTTTTCTCTATTTCTTTCAAATATTATATTTTACGGTGTATTTATTTATGTAGTTTTCTTTTCTTGTGGAATTATTTTGTCTACAATCCTTCTTCATTTAACTCTCTAATTTAAACCATTTTTCAATATTATCCTTCTAATAAAATTTATTTCATTTTATTTGTTTAGAGAAAATTTTCATTTTGTTAGAGTTTTTTTTTTTTTTTTTTTTTTTTTTTTTTTTTTTTTAAGTACTATTGGAGTTCATATTTAGTTCTTGTTAATTGTACTTAACATGTTTATTAATCATATTGAAAATATTTACTTATGAAATGTATACTAACTTTTTTGTAAAAATAAAATTCTCATGTTTTTATTTGTAATAAATTAATTAAAAAAAATCTAAAATGCTGATCAAAATTAATACCAACCATACTAGGTACAATTATATATTAACAATATAATACTTATACTATGTTTACTTGTCTTATTTATGTTAAACTAGCTTTTTATTTTTTACTTATTCTCTTTAGTATTTTTTTTTTATTTTTAAATTTAATTTTTTGATATATAATGATACTCTTACTTTAGGTTCTAAAGATATAAATTTTATATACGGATAGTGAATATTCCTCGATTTTTTACATTCATACATGTCCATGTTCTCATTTTGTAGTCGAATCGGGGTCAAACGATTCGGATCAAAGTCAACAAGTCAAGTGTCTATATAAAGGGTATTAGCCCTTCATGGTAGGGATTTTCCCCCTTCTCTTAGCTCTCTCTTTTAGTCTTTAGATAACACTTGCATAATTCCTCTCTTCTCCTCTACTCTGGAGTCTCTAAAAGAGCATCAATGAATAAAAGAGAGCCTTTTTGAGCAAAATTCTCCCATCTACTCTTTATGTCTACATACTTTATACACAGCACACGTTAAACAAGCAATTTATACTATCATATACCAATAGTAAATATTATGAAAAATTAAATTGTAATTATCTAATTGACAAAAAATTTTTTTTTGAGGTGGAGGAAGTATTATGTAAGCATACAAAATCAACAAAGTAAACTTCACAACAATCTTAATGCAAAATATTTTAGGAAATTTTGGACTGCCAAAAGTTTCCAAATCCCAAACACAGTTGGACTAAAGAACAATGAACAAAGGGATTGCAACATTTCATTCTTTCTCAAGACCTCTTTATTACCAATGACTATGTTATTAAAGACACTGAAAAATTAGAGCTCTAGCTAAGGTAAGTTTGTTCCAGCTTCAACAATGTAAGAACTCCCCAACATACTGGGATCAGCTGTGGATAAGATATTGTATGATGTGAGTACCGGGTCTGATGTGGCATATGTTATCATCCATCATAGTTCATAGCAACATCAGTAAAGCCAATTTCTGAGCATGCCAAATGATATTAACTTCACTTGTATCCATGCACTCATTCCAGTTCAACAGCAATCATCTGTCATTGTTTCAGAGAAAGATACAATTTGTGAATGACTAAACTACAAGACTTTAAGAATAACATACATACTAGATTTGAAATTCAGTCCTATAATTACTAATAAAAGAATTGAAACTATTATTAACAAATTTGAATTACTAGTTTATGGTTTAGGGTCCATGTAAACCTCAACCCCGCCCAGTAGCGCAGAAAAGGCTGTGATCTGCCAACCCTCAGAACAAAGTTTTTTTTAACCAGAAAGTGTTGAGCAACTGAAAAGTATAACAAAATGAAAAGCTGAGGCTTTAATTTGCACCATAACATAACCAAATCAAAATCATTTTTCCACAAAATATGTTACTTAACCAGTAGAATGAATCATGTAGAGAGTTATAAATAATTAATAGTAAATTTGATATCAAGGCCGAAAATCTTGACTTGCATAAGAAGAGAGTATAGAACAGATTGAGCTCTTAATTACTGTCTCTAAACTTGCATGTGATGAATTTGGTGAATCAAGGAGAAATTGATATCTACTAAGAAAAGATTCACAACTACAAGAAGATGACTATCATGTACAAATCATATATTCAGTATTTGAAAACCTCAAATTCTCCAGCATTCAGCTCTAAGTAGCATGCAGTCAGGAGAACATATACATCGATCATGCTATTCGATATCAAGAATTCTACAATCAAGTGCTCCGTATTCATTCACCAGCATATGTGTGGGAACCTTTATGGCCTCATTTTCAACAATGATTTAGCTTAAATTAGCTATGAAATCAAGAAAGGGAGTGGTGGGAAAACTACTACAGAAACTGCAGAGCAACAAATGCAAAATTTTCGAACAGTAATTGAAACTCTCAAGCTCGCTCTCTGCCATGTATGGTGCAAATTAAAGCAACAGTGATAGGAGCATAAACAACACAGCATAACATTTCACATCTTCAATTCCATGAAAAAAACACACACACAAAAAACCTGTGTAATTTGGATAAAGAAATAATATAATAAAAACATTCGCTCTGGTTTTCAATCAACGGTACGAAGAGCCTAACACCTAACATAATCAATTTCATAAAACAAACGGAAATTAGGAAAGACCGGAGAATCGTATGGAAGGTACGTAAAAAACATACCTATTACGATTATTGCAAAACCCATCCAATGCATTTCTGTAAAAGTGGAAAATCCCCAAAAATTCCCAGATTATATTCAAGAAATCTGGGGACAAATTAGCGGTTTAAGTTCTTGGATTTTTGGGCAAAAAAAAATTTGGACCATTTCTCGATTTGTGCGTGTCATCCTTGCGCAGGGGCCATGCTAATCTTCTCTGTATCGTTCCAATTTTATCGGATGTCCCCGAAGGGACGCTCTGTCCTTCCATGGTGGAGTATGTGTACTGGAAACAAGCTGCTTCATGTGCCGATGTGGGAGAAGACGAGTTAAGTGACTACAGCGTAAACCGAATACATGTTAGCGTTCTGTAGCGGCCCATAAAGGCATGGAGGCCCGGCCCAAATTTCGTGGTTTTTATTTTTAAAAATTCTTTAAATTTTGTTTGTTTATTACGGAGTACTCCGTAACTTTTATTTTTACGGTTTTTTTTTTTTTAATATAAATGTAATAAATCAATAATTCATGGATTTCATGCTTTCATTTTAGTGGTGCTCTATAATTAAATGTAGAGCTGATATGTTTACGCCTTTTCGATCATTATCCTTGAGCTCTACTAAAAGATTGGCCATTTTCAGCCCATTGCGAGCTCTCATTAACTCGCTGTCAAATCTTGAACTTCGGCATGGTGATAATTTTAAGCAATGCTACTACATCGGTCAACCCAAAAGGGGGGAGTGCTTTACGTTACCCAGAATAGATTATACCCTGGATCCAGAAGTAGCAAGGTCAAATTCGATGATCACAAGGCTATGCAAAGATGGTCGTGTCATTGAAGCACGAGGAGTGTTTGATGAAATGCCTGATCCAGATGTGATTTCCTGGACACCTATGATTTCAGGGTACATAAGCTGTGGCATGATTAATGAAGCTCGGGAGTTGTTTGATAGAGGTGATGCTAAGAGAAATGTTGTAACTTGGACAGCTATGGTTGCTGGGTATATGAGGGGGAATCAAATTTTAGATGCTCAGAGGCTTTTCAAAGAGATGCCGGAAAAGAATGTGGTATCTTGGAATAGTATGATTAATGGGTATGTGAAAGCTGGTAGAATTGATGAGGCTTTGGCGTTTTTTGAGAGTATGGAAGAGAGGAATGTGGTTTCTTGGAATATGGTAATTGGAGGACTAACTCAATGTGGGAGGGTTGATGAGGCATGGAGGATTTTTGATCAAATGTCAGAAAGGAATGTGGTCTCTTGGACTACCATGATTTCTGGGTTGTCAAGCAATGGGAGAGTAGATGAGGCAAGAATGTTTTTTGAGGGGATGCCAGACCGGAATGTGGTTTCCTGGAATGCAATGATTACTGGGTACATAAAGAATTTGAGGTTTGATGAAGCATTTGAACTATTCGAGAGGATGCCTGAAAAGAGTGTTCTCTCATGGAATACAATGATCTCTGGTTTTATAGAAAACAAGGACCTGAACAGTGCAAGAATGTTGTTCAATGAAATGCCGAGAAAAGATGTAGTTTCTTGGACATTGATGATTAATGGCTCTGTGCAGAATGGCCAAAGTGAGAAAGCCATAGAAACTTTTAGTGATATGCAGTGGGATGCCCGTGTAAAACCAAATGAAGGGACCTTCGTTTGTGTTTTGAGTGCTTGTAGTAACTTAGCTGGTCTGGGTGAAGGGATGCAAATTCACCAAGTAATTAGCAAGACAGTTTATCAAGATAACCAATTGGTCGTTTCTGGACTTATTGACATGTATTCAAAATGTGGAGAGCTGTCAACTGCGAGGAAAATGTTTGATGATGGATTAAGAGGCCAGATGGATCTGGTCTCTTGGAATGGAATGATTGCAGCATATGCTCACCATGGATGTGGTAGGGAAGCAATCAATTTGTTCAAAGATATGCAAAATATGGGGTTCAGACCAAATGATGTAACTTATGTGGGGTTGCTTGCTGCCTGCAGCCATTCGGGGTTGGTTGAGGAAGGGTTAAATTACTTTATTCAGCTTATGAGAGATGAGTCCATAGAGGTTGGTGACCATCACTACTCATGCATAATTGATCTTTGCAGTCGAGCAGGAAACCTCAAAGAGGCTTATCGATTCATGGAACAACTCCAAACAAAGCTACCTGCAAAGATTTGGGTAGCTCTTCTTTCAGGGTGTAATGTTCATGGGGACCAAGAAACCGGGAAACTGGCAGGAGAAAAACTCCTAGAGGTAGACCAGGTGGCTGCAGAAAGTTCTAGTACTTATATGCTGCTATCGAACATATATGCTTCAAGTGGGAACTGGAAAGAAGCTGCAAAACTGCAGGGGAAAATGAAGGATAGAGGATTGAGAAAGCAGCCAGGTTGTAGTTGGATTGAAGTAGCAAATAGGGTTCATGTTTTTGTGGCTGGTGATAGATCTCATGATGAAACTGACCTGCTTTATTCTTTGCTAGGTAGTCTTTATATGAAAATGAAAAGGGCTGCCTTCTTTACTACACACAATTTCATATTGGAAGATGATTTTGCATTCATTTGACCTTTGACCTTTCATTAATGGTTGAAGTATGCATCAATCAAACGTAATATTGTTAATAGAGACATAAGATACGGATAGTCGGATATACTTCGACTGAAATAAAGGTTGAACTCGAGAGGCTTATACTATTAGACTAGAAGGTACTTGTCAAAGTAAATAGAGTATTGGGTAGATCCATTAGCAATATACTATGATTTTTAGGTTGTATATCCATGTAGAAGGGTATTTGCTTAGAGGAGAGGAATTGAGAAAGAGTGATCACGTGCCAATCCTCTTCTATCCATGTTTCATTTCATTTCTTCAAACTAAGAAGTTTACATATGAATTCTCAAAAAAGAAGTTTACATATAAGAAATGTTTACTCCAGAGCTTTTTGAAATGATAGTGGATTCCTTGAAGGGAGACTGGTTAATTTTGTAATTACAAGAAAAGTTAGATGTCTAGATGATATGCATCTTTAAAAAAAAAAATAATGAATCTCAACAAGAGCAAATTTGTTTTTAATTTCTTAAGTGTATGCAATAATTCTACTTTTTTTGTTTGTTTGTTTGTTTGTTTTTTTTTTTTTTTTTTTTTTTTTTTTGTTAATATAGTTTATTTGGTTTGTACATATATAATTAATCATTTTGGTAAATGAAGGAGTCTGCTGGTCTTCTTGAATAGTTTATTTTAGTAAAGTTATTGTAAAGTCAATGAGTTTAAATTTAAAAATGCATCTAGAGCATAATTCAATTAGTCGATGAACTAAAATAAATTAATTGCTTTGATTTGATAAAGAGGTAGGGTGCACCGTGCATGATTCAATTTTTATTAGTTGTATGTAAATGAAATTCAAAAGTGGAAGAACTAATTTTATTTTATCTATTGAAATATTAGCCAACCAGACATCTGTTGCCAACTTGCCATAGCTATCAATATAGGTATCGTGGCTCTAACAAAAGATTCGTTAAAATGAGCACTTTGGAGCCGTTATTTTGCTAAGCATGGTAGAAATTGTAATCTACTCCACAGACCACAATATGTACATTATTATACCAAACTAGTAAGTTTCTCGTGCGATGCACGGTTATTAAATATGATCTCTTAATAATTTAAAATTATCGTATAATCTTCTTATCTTACTCTATATAATAGCAAAATGTTATATATAAAATAAGATATAATAATAATTAAATAAGATTGTAAATTATATATATATATATATATATATATATATATATATATATATATATATATATATATATATATTCAGGCCTATCACTGTACGTATGAGTCATCTAATGAGTTCATAAATATGAAAATTAATAACAGTCCAAACGACGTTTTATTATTTAGGTGGGAAAATGATGTGGCAAAAATATTTTGCTATTATATAGAGTAAGATAAGATAAGATAAGATAAGATAAAGATAAGAAGATAAGATGTCATCACTTCACTTATTTTCACTAAAACTTATTTTAATTCATTACGGAGTAAATATTTAATTTCAATTTTGATTATAATTTTATTTGTCGTGCATATCTTATTATCTTTAGATTGATTGCAAGTATTATAGAAAAGTATCAATGATAAGGTATGATAAAAGGAAAAAAAAAATCATTTTCCTTTTTCTAGGAACGTGCTAGCCGATACCTTGTACGCTAAAGTATCCAAACCTCAATGGTCGTCGTCGTCATCATCTACTAATCTAATCGCCCCTTTCAGTTTGATGTCTTCGTCAATTACAGGAGACAACGGTTGTTCCAATCCCTTCTCCCCATCTCTGCTCTTCAATCATCAATCATCATCTTCCTCAACTGTTCTTGACAGCTTTCTCCCACCAACACAACACCCTCTTCTCGCTTCCTCAAATCCCCACCTTTACCTTACCTTTCTCATTAACAAATCAAACAATACCCACCCAGCTAAGAGCTAGTAGTAGTAGTAGAAGCATTGCAGGAATTTTTGCAGTTTCCACAGATGGGTTGCTCAGCTTCTCGTTCCGCTCATGATTTCATTCATCCCCAAACCCAATCTAATTCGGCTTCTTCTTCTTCTACTCGGATTTCGCGAACGCTTTCTCTGCCTACCCCTCTGGTTCACCACCCGCCTCTCGGGAAAGGGGATACCAGCCATTTCGTGCTGCTCACCTCCTCCACCTATGGCTCGCTTCTCTTAATCGACAGCCCCGCTATTCCAAACCCTAACCCTAGAACTGAATTTGGGAAATCCCAATCCGGGTCTGACCCGTTAGAGCCTCTGTCCCCTGACTCAGTTGTCAATACGTGGGAGCTCATGGAAGGCCTTGATGATGACTTTGGTTTCCATGTAGTCGAGCCCCCCAAAGTCCCCATCTTGGAGACTCACGAGAAAGAAATTTCTTTGACCAAAATGCTCAAATCTTACGAGTTTGTTGAGCACTCTGATGCAGAGGAGCCATTGAGCTCCATAGACTCAAATGATAGGATCTTATTGGGCACATTGATTCCAAATAGTGCATTTAAGCTGAAGGGTACTGAGGATAGGATTGTTCTGTATTATACTAGTTTAAGGGGAATTAGGAAGACTTACGAGGACTGCTGCGATGTTCGAATGATCTTAGGGGGACTTCGCGTGTGCGTAGATGAACGGGACATATCCATGGATTCATCCTATAGGAAAGAGTTGCAGAGTGTGTTGGGTGGTAAAGCTGTGAGCTTGCCACAGGTTTTCATTGGGGGAAGGCACATTGGTGGTGTAAATGAGATTAAGCAACTAAACGAGGCCGGGGAGTTGCCTAGGCTTTTGAAAGGGTTTCCCGTGAAGAAAGATGGATTCTTTTGTGGAAGCTGTGGGGATGCAAGGTTTGTGCCATGCCCGAGTTGCAATGGCAGTCGAAAAGTGTTCAAAAATGGGGAAAGGATGTTAAGGAGGTGCGTAGATTGCAACGAAAACGGATTGATACGGTGCCCTTGTTGCTGCCCTTAGAAGCTCTTGGTGACTGGTTTCTTTATTTTCTCTGCAAGGATATCTGAAGCATGGTACAATAACATGTTATTGTAAATTTATTTGTATAGATTCTGTTTGGCTTGCTTATATCATACAGCTTTTGAGCTGTGAAATGTGAATGTCCATCACATTCTTTGAACAGTTTAAGCAATAAAATGCAAATATTTGCATGCCTAATTACTAATATCATTTTTTTTTTTAATTATCTTGGAAATATTGTCTCAATAACAAGATTCATGTGTGTATGTATAATTCTGTTTTTTTCTGCCCAAGAAGATATAGTATACTTTGATTCAACTGGTGCTATAGGCCTCCATTGTTGTTCTGCAAAAGGCTAAGATTTCTTCCTCATCATTGAATTTCGAGAACTAGCCAAAGTTCTCAGTTGTATTGAGAGCAGACATTGTTTGGTTTTCATCCACCACATAGGAGAAAATAGAAGCTTCATCCGTGTTCACTTTGAAAGTTGAGAACTGAATTAATGAAATTCTTATAGTGGATGGTTCAAATTGAGGGTGTATTTGGTTCGAAAATGGGAATCGGAATCGCAATGGGAATCAAATATTTGGTGAATGGGTTTTGGTAAAAATATTTTGCATGTTTGGTAGTAGGATAAATTGGAATGATTATCAATATTGATGTTTAATTATTTATGATTCTATAATCAGAATAAAGATTTTAAAAATACAAAAAATTAAGTCAATTGATCTTAAGAGTGGTGATGAGGTGAATAGGCAATGCACTGAGTAAGTCGATGAAGTGAGGAGGTGACGAAATGAGGAAGCGGATTTCAATTAGGTATTGGTATTGTTTGGTAACATAATTAGCTTATCAGACAATTTTGACTTGTTTGACCACTATCAGTTGTTTGACTTGGTTAAACAGTCAATACGAGTGTTTGATTAATTAACTTTTTGTAACAATTTATTGCTTCAAAATGCTAAAATTCAAAAAGTTGCTTAAAACAGTTTTTTCGATCAACTTTTTGAGAAAGTCATTTTGCATTTAATCAGCTCTCAGCTAACAACTAATTTACCAAACATCTTTCTACAATCAGCTAATGTCATCAACTGGTCAAACCCACTAACCCAATCAGCTAATAGCTATTTACCAAACACCCTAATATGTTTTGTAAGTATATGGGTAATTAAATCTTATATCTTTATTTTTTAAAAAAGTTATCAACCAAACAAATAAAACAATATGTATGACTTTTATTCCCATTCTTTATAAATTTAACCTTATGAACCAAACACATCCCGAATATTAACTCAATTAAAATAATAATAGTCTTGATTTCCCCTTTTATGCTTGATCTAAATTGATATTTAGAGCAAATGAAATATTCAATTAATTTAATCAAAACACTTTGATAGGATAATTATACAAAGGGGCCAAAGTCCAAGTATGGAGTTTAGCCCATAAGAAAGGTGTACAAAGGCTCACAAGTCACAACTTAGTACAACGTCAGCCTAGCCGCAAATTATGTCATGGAATCGTGTTCACCGAGAATGGTGAACACAAGGTAAAACTACGTTGTTTTTAGGCAAAAAAAAAATTTTCGCGGATGTGGAGTTAACGGCGCGCGTTTGATCAGATTATGAATTTTCTGTTATGAGATTATAAATTTTATGAAAATTCATAATCTCATAACAGAAAATTCATAATCGCATAACAGAAAATTCATAATCTCACAATTGAAAATTCATAATCTTATAACAGAAAATTCATAATCTCATGGTTCCAAAGTGAATGTGTAGGCATGGTTCCAAAGTGAATGTGCAGGCATGGATTCATAATTTATGAATGTCCGTGATTTCGGACGGGAATATGTAGGCATGGTTCCAAAGTGAATGTGCAGGCATGAATTCATAATTTATGAATGTCCGAAATTATGAATGTAATGAAAATTCATAATCTCATAACAGAAAATTCATAATCGCATAACAGAAAATTCATAATCTCATAACTGAAAATTCATAATCTCATAACAGAAAATTCATAATCTCATGGTTCCAAAGTGAATGTATAGGCATGGTTCCAAAGTGAATGTGCAGGCATGGATTCATAATTTATGAATGTCCGTGATTTCGGACGGGAATGTGTAGGCATGGTTCCAAAGTGAATGTGAAGGCATGAATTCATAATTTATGAATGTCCGAAATCTTTGTTCACCTCAAATTAAAGTGAAACCGCAAAATGTGAAAATAAAGAAGAAAAGTCACGCAATTAAAAAAAAAAAAAAAAAAAGAAAAATAACGGTGTACTAACACCGTTTGAACCGTGTTCACCATGAATGGTGAACACGGTTCCATGGCATAACGACTGCAGCCTAGCTAAGAGCTTTAGCCCAAAAAGCTTAAACCAAAAGGGTCTTGACTCATAAAACCTTGTTAACATAGCTAATTTAGAGATTAAAAACTACTGGTATTGTTATAGACCATTAAAAAATAAACACGGAGACTTGGATTAGTTATCCAACACAGTTATTTAATGCCGACTTGTATGTTCAACCACCTTCCTTATATGTTATATACTAGTCTTATACACGCAATACATGTGAGTAATTGTTTAATATTAAAATTATGATTATATTAAAATAATTTAAAAAGTAAAAAATAAATAAATACCACAAGTCATTTATATTATATTATATTATATTTTACCTATACGAATTTACAATAGAGAGATGTTTGTCTAGGTAAAATTATAAATAATTTATTTATTTGTGATAAATTTGATAATTTTCTTCAAGTTTAATTACTTGTATTGATTAGTTTTATATTATAATTAGTAAATATATAAATAATAAATGATACTTCATAAATCAAGCATTTTGTGCTCAAATAACACTTTTGTTCCTCTCCTTGAGGGAAGGTCACAGTATCGAATCTTGGTGGTGGTGTATTGACTCTTTAGACTGTAGTGGATAGAGAAAATATAGAACTTGACTCTACCTTGTAATAGAGTCAATAGTATTAAAAAAAAAAAATACTTCATAAAATATATTTGGTTTAATATAGTGTTTAATAATTATATAAATTATTTTGATAAGTAAAGTATTCAAGGTAAATGCAATTAGGTAATTGATTTAGTAATTAATATTTAATAACGGAACATACTCAATAGTTTAAAAGAAATTTGGTCCAAAACATTAAAATACAATATTTTAAACATAATGTATCATTTGACAAGTATAAAAAATACATACATAATATAGGGATATAACTTGCATGGACTCTTATAACTTAGATATAAACTTAGAAACATGTATTAATAAAGAGACGAACTATCTCGTTGCTCGCCAAGCACCGTATACTCAGATGACATGTAGTGACCTCTCTCATATGGTCGATCATGAGATCGAACTTTAGTGGAGGCGTTGTTGACTAAAAAAAAAAAAAAAACTATCTCGTTGCTCTTGCTCTTTGTTAGGTCGGTAACAAATCTTATATAATCAATTACATCTTAGCAATTATTAAAAAAGGGCTTGGTCTCATAAAGGAACTTGAGAACCAATAAATAAAAGGAATGCTTGATCACAAATTTCAGACATGAGAAAACTTATTATCCTAAAAGTTTCTAATTTCACTCAACAAAGGTAAATAAATTAGAAGTTTTGAGATACAAGAAGAATGTCAAATTTTTTAGGTTTTTATTTTTTTATTTATTTATTTTTTTTATTTTTAAGTTCACTAAAGTAGTGACTTGAAATTTTTGTCTTAGGAAATCCTCTCTCGTGTAAGTACTGTAGCTACTTAGTCAAGAGTAAAAACACACTCACTTTTCGTATGTATGTTGGCAACTGATGTATTTTTATTTTATACATATCTATTATCAGACATCGCTCCTTTAATCCTCTTAATACCAGCGTTATAAAGAAGGTCACTAGAAGTTGTTTGTAACTTAGCTTTCACAATAATTATTTTCATAAATCCTCTTAATACCAGAGTTATGAAGAAGATTACCGAAGTTTTTTGTAGCTTCCACAATAATTAATATTTAATATTTAAATTATTGTGTAACTTATTAAGAATTCATTAAATTATATTAAGTAATATAATATTTACAACTTCATTCTAGGAACATATATATTACAATATATTTCATTATTATCAGGAATAAATTTTTTCAAAACCTTCAGGATCGAAAGATGAGCTTTCCTTCTGATCAGCTTATTCCCATAAGATCATTCTAAAAGTGTTCCTTCTAAAATGGTACCTTTCGATCATTTCCTTCTGATTGACTTCTTCTGATCGGATTATTCCGAATTAAATTTGGGACTTTGTAATTTTAATTTATTCATTATATTCTTTTAACTTAGCTCCGTGAAACATAATAAAATTTAAACTTAATTTTCGATCTCCACTACGTATTACAAAAACGTGACTAAATGAACTAGTTGGTCCATAAAATAAAATATCCCCAACGTGATCTATTACACCCACCTAGGCCCTACCTAGATGTTACTTATTGCAAAATCTATAATAGATTATATAAATAAGTAAAATTAGGAACGTAACTGTAATCTGATATCTGATATAATATTAAACCATTATAAATTCGACAATTTACGCGGCACTCATGCAACAATTTTTTTTAAACAATTGGAATGCACGTTCCAATATTGTTTTATTAATTAGCAATTCCGAGCCCTAAATTTAACCAATCATTATATTGTGAACCATATATTTTCAGGCATTTTGGTGGACATTGGAGTCAAATGGAGCGTTTTGGATGTATTAGAAGTCCATGGGAGCTAAGGAAAGCTAAGAGGATGGCTAAAACACTTCCAAAGGAACCTAAGAGTGGTGTTTTCAATGGTGTTGGTTATTTGGGCAAACCAAAACAAAAGAGGAGCAAAAGATTAATGCATTGCAATTTTCGCTCATTTCAACCACTGTTTGGCATTTTGACTATATCTCAGCCTAGAAGTGTTGAAATGAAGTGATTCTTGTGTCATTGGAAAGAAGACTCAAAGGGCTACAATTCTTATAAAATCATCAAAGCAAGGAAGCCAAAGAGGTCAAAATTGTCCTTGAATTTGAAGTTCCAAACTTACAATCCAAAACTGACCACTGTTTTGTTTTTTGGACCATATCTCGGCTTAGGAATGTCCAAATGAAGTGATTCTTACTCCATTAAAAAGAAGACTCGAAGGGCTACAATTTTCA